ATCTTTTCTCTCTACATTATAAATAGGACTAGAGGAGTATCTCTGAAAAAATTTCTTACTCTGAAAAAAATTCCAAGAGCCAAAGAGAGCATTTACTGAACAGAGAAGACAAAGCAGTGGCAGAGGAAAAAAATTCCACATCACCTGCTTATTAGACATGTCAGGTCAGATTATTTTGGTCAAACTTGTACTGACTAATCAATTTCACAGTCAAAGTAAGAGATCTATTATCATAGGATACCGGTGCACCATTTTAATTACTTTGAGGGTAAAATTGCACCATAAATTACTTTAGGCCACTGGGTGCACCTGGAAAAATACTTGGGGGTGCTGGATGCACCTTAACCCCAAAAAATTCCGCATCACCTGTTTATTAGACATGCCACGTCAGATTTTCTAGTCAAACTTATACTGACTCATCAATTTAACGGTCAAACTAACAGATCTGTTAGCATGGGAACCGGTGCACCATTTTAATTACTTTGAGGGCAAAATTGCACCATAATTACTTTAGGCCACTGGGTGCACCTGACAAAATACTTGGGGGTGCCGGGTGCACCTTAACCCTAAATTATACTATAAAATAATTTTATATTTAAAACCGGAAGAGAAAAAGTATAAAAGAAGGTTGTGATCACTAGAGCTGGTAATATGGGTTGAGCTCACTGGCTCAACCCGCCAACTCACCAAAAAGTGACGAGTGGGGTTGATGAAAACCAGGCTCATTTTAAAACGGATTTTTTGAGCCCGTAACTGTCAAGATCGAACCCGCAGCAGGCTAACCCACAGGGTTGGCGGGCCGGCCTATTTTGTTTATTATTTATTTTTAAAATTTTTTTTCCTCCCTCAAATATAATTATGTTCACTTCTTGGTCTTTTATCTCATTCTTATTATTAAAATTACTATAATATAGTATATCTCTTACTTTGTATTATGAATTTTACTTATGACAAAGTTAGTTGAGCAAAAAGAAAGTGATTCTATTTATGAAGTTTAACCAAATAATTTCACATCTTCATATCATTCTTCAAATTATGTCAACATTGAATGGCAGCTCATGGTTAAGCATTTAATAGTGATTTGTAACATTGTGTTTATATTATTATTAATTTAGATTTGTTAGGTTTTAATTTGGGATGTATGTTTAATCATTTAGAATAATGTGTCATGTATGCTTATAGTAGTATTTTGGAATGTTTAGAATTTAGAATTTCATATTTTATTTATGATAATTTATATATGCATATTTTATTTTGGATGTTTAAGAATTAAAATAAAACTTATTAAAAGAAAACAAAAGGCACCAAAAAAAAAGTGACAGGTTGGCGGGTCTAACCCGCCAACTCACCCTGACGGGTTGGGTTGGAAAAAATATTAACCCGTTAAAAATCGGTCTTTCTAGGACTAGTCTGTTAGTCTTTGAACCCGTCACGAGCCAACCCATAACCAATAGGTTGGTCCGTATTACCGGCTCTAGTAATCGCGGAATGTTTAGGATTTAGAATGCAAGAAATGAGTTGACAAAAAACAATGCAAGAAATGAGGGAACCGACATCGATTAGAGTGATGTGACAAGCCATGATGCCATATTTATGTTTTATACGTGGAGCAACATCTAAAATATGCTCAGCAATTCGTCACTTTAACCAACACTCTAACCTCCTTTAATCTGAATAGTTTAAATTGAATTTTCACAGTTTAGATTTTTTTTATTTTTGTTTGTTTAAAATAATTTTTTTCTCAAAAGGTATTTTTCTATTTCAAAAATAAATAATTAAAATTTTAAACCTGGACGTTTCAAATATAATAAGTTTAGAATGCTTATTATCTTGTTGAACACCCAAGTTAGTTCTTACTGCACATTTTTATTTCCCTTTTTGTTGTCGAAGTTGATTCTCTATTTATGTTTTGAGAGCTGTTTAGGTAGAAGTTAAATCATAGTTTTAAAAGTACTTTTATAGTATATAAAGTAAATATATAGAAAAGTTTGTCTTATTTCAAATCTAATAAATTTAAGGTGCTTCCAAACGCTACCTAGATTATACAAAGGCAATTTGCTTTGCCACTAGATGCCTTGATATTGAATACTCAATAGCTATTTAGTCAAGGTTTACACTTTACAGGGCATAATATAAATATGTAATAAAATTAAGTATCTATTAAGGGGACTCCAAATGGTCACTTAAGAATTCAATTGATCCTATCACGGCTGCTGCATGGGGATTGGCAAGTCATGCTTTTGCCATGTTCGTGGAGAATCTATTTCCCTTCCAACCTCTTAATTAAAAAGTATTTGGTTACAAACAAAACTACAGTTTCAAAAGTATTTTTATAGTATACGGAATAAATATGTAGAGAAGTTTGTCTTGATTTATAAAAAAATACTTCTGAAAAGTAATTATGAGCCTATCCAAACACTCTCTTAAACTTCCTCATCAGATTGGATTTATGTAAATTTTTATATCCCTGATTATATTATACTTCTTTGAACATCGGGACTTGGTCTTTTTTCGTTGTACTCACTTTTTGGGGGGGTTCTTGGTCTAGCTCTTCAATTCGTACTTAAGTTCTGGGTAATGAAATGCTTCTTTATGTTTTTATTATAAAATCTCATTTGTAAACTATAAATAATGTTTTATAATTAGGATCGGAAGTAATATATTTCTAACATCATTTGGTCAAATAGAAGGAATATTACGTGTCCGTGTTTATTTCAAAATAAGTGACCTATTAATAATTTAGTGCTTGTCTAGTTTAAATTATTTAAACCGGTTTTGTGCTTTTTAAAATAAATATACAAGAAAATTTTTATTTCCTAAAACCTAAGAGTGTTTATATAAGTAACTCTAGATAATAATTTATGCACCCTCAAGGTGTAGCTTATAAAAAAGAAAATAAAAACGTGTGGCTTATAAAAAAGAACTGAGAGAGTGTCAAATAACAAACTTAACCAATTTTCTAAAATTTTGTAAATTAGTTAACTATATGGCTTGATCATACTTTCTATTTAGTGTCTATTTATGATAGCAGTGAAAATTCTCTATAAATACATTTTACGTAAATTGAGACAACACTCTTCTCACATACTTACCTCGTATTTTGTAAATCACTATTGAAAAATTATTTATAAGTTACTCATAAACTATTCCAAATGAGTTTTTAGAATAGGTGGTAGTTGGAGCGCATTTCTTCTTACCCTTTTAAACAGATAAAACTAAATGTAATCAAATAGGCGTTACATATGTTTTTCTGCGAATTAAAAAAATAAAGCAATCACAAAATTTCCAAATAACGTGCCTCGTTATCAATTTAAATTTTACTTTTATTTTCTTATTGTATTAACTGATGTTCTAATTGCTTATAAGTATGTTTTTGCCAGTAATTGTTTATAAATATAAACCATACAAAGCCTACAATAACAAAATCATAGCATTTTTTTTGACAAATATTAAAACATGGCTATTCGTTAATCTGAGCACATAAATAAATGTTTAGGTTTTGATCATGGGTTGCTATAGATTCTATTAAATATACCGGTTGATTTGTTAAAGGCTATAATCTACTTTCACAATCATAAACTATAACTACATTTATGTTGGCAAAAAAAAAAGTATAATTACATTTATATTTCAAATAAAGCTTTACATGTGTCTTTGAATAAATATAATATCATAATATATTTAAATTAAATAATGACTTTTACAAATTAAATGCGAGGGTGCCAACGTGTTAAAAATAATAAATATGTAAAAAATATGATTTCTTTTCTAAAAATACCATCAATTACGAAAAAGGCAGGCGGAAAAAGCATGATGCAAAAAAAGAACGAAACAGATGCATAATCAATTAAGAGTAAAAATGGAAAAAATACATTAGAGGTTTATATATCTCAAAATCAGCTTATAAAAAGAAATATACTTATTTAAAAAATTGTAACTTGCATAAAAAGAAGCAGTGAGAGAAATACCCTTTTGTCAGTTATTTATCTCTATTTATTTGTCTTTATCTAAAATTTTATTTTATTTCTAAATACATGTCATATTGCAAATTTTAAAATATAATCATTACTTGTCTGCCATGACAACCTAATAAGTAGAGGATATTAAATATAGGCAAGGACAAAGTTTCCTGGAAAAATTGTGGGACAAAAAAACTGAAAAAACAAAAATAATTATCTTACAGTGCATTTACTTTGCTATTTTCTTAACATGCGTGATTTTTCAGGATAAAGAAATAGGAATGGAGGAAATGCAATGATATCTTTTACACAATTGGAGTATAAAAACTGCTTGGAATAAGTAATTTTGCCATTCACTTTGAGTTTAGAAATAAACCATACTCTTTATGATTTGCAAGTAATATTTCTCATTACTCTATTTACTTATATTATAATAGTAAATTTAATAAAAAGTTATATTATTCATAATTTGTGAATGACATAAATGGTATGCATTCATTAGGAAAAATAAAAACTATCTTCCATTCTGAAAAAAAAACACAATCTATATTTTTTTTTTAAATGGTAGAATTGGATGAAAAAATAAATTTAGATGGTATTTGGATGGAATCAAAACTATAATTTTAAAAGTACTTTTACAATATACAAAATAAGTATTTAGAGAAAGTTTTTTCAATTTGTGAAAAAATCTTTTTAAAAAACATTTTTCATGTTATTCAAACACCCTTCTGTTACAGTTCAAAAAATAGTGCATGATGTGCAGTTCAGTTGCGATTGCAGGTTGTAACAATGGTGGCGGACGAATCCATAAAATTGGGAAGGGAAGGGCGCGAGAAATTTCCCAGGAAGCAGAGAACTATTCCCCGCAGCGAGGGAAGATTCAAAAAGCCAAAAAGTAAAGTCAGTTCAAAATTTAAGCAAACTTTGCTCCAAAACCAAATTTTCATTTTCCTTTTTAAGTAAAGTGAGAAAAAATCCAAAAAGGGACGAAAAATATAAAATGCCAAGAGACAAGATCGAGGGAGAGAGAGCCCCTGGCTTCTTGAAGTACAGTTTTATTACAGGTACTGTGTCTTGAGGAGGACAAAGTGCTTTCTCCCTCTTTCTCTCTCCTGAATTTTCATGTTTCACTCTCTCTATTTTGTCTTTGGATGATTCTGTGCTCGATTCTAGACATCTGTTCCCTTCTTTCTAAATTTTGAACTCGCTTTCATGTCTTAAACCCTAAACACCTTCATTTTCCTCGGCAAAGCCATGGATTCTCTTATACCATTTCAAGACCTCAATGACTTACCCGACCCATCCGCCTGTATGCCCAGCGGCAGCACCAACCCCATCAATGCCGGTGCTGGTGCGACTACTCCCACCGTTATGTTGGTCCCGAAATTGGAACCGAAGCTCGAGCCGTTGGATGAGCCATGTCTGAACCATCATCCCCAGGAACCCCAAGAAGTGGAGCGGACCATGTTTTCGAATCATGCCTTGGACGGGCTCTCTCCGTCTCAGCGCAGTAATTTCTGTGATAATAACCTCGCCTCCGTTGACAACCGAGGCGCATCGACGGAACAGGACAACCTGTATGCGGAGTTCTATCGATTTTCTGAGCAGTTTAGGACTATGTTAGCTGAGAGGTTTAACGCCAAGGGAGATGCCAATGCTTTAGGTCCAGATTCGCGGGCAATTGTTCCAGTGCCACAGGAAAACCAGGTTCCTCCGGTGGTCGTTACTCCGCGGCGGATCCCGCGAGTGAAGGAGCTGGTGAGGGTCAATGATCTTCGAATTGAAGATGACCGGTATTTCCGCAACATTACTAGAAGGACCAGGATGATTTACGATTCGTTGCGTGTTTTGGCAGCGGTGGAGGAGGAGAAGAAATTCGATTTTTCTGGCGCTAAACGGATGCGAGGTGATTTGAGGGCTGCCTCGTTGATGAGGGATCGTGGATTGTGGCTTAATCGTGATAAGCGGATAGTGGGAGCGATCCCAGGGATTTACATTGGCGATTTGTTCTTTTTTAGGATGGAACTCGTCGTGGTTGGGTTGCACGGTCAACCACAAGCTGGAATTGACTATCTTCCTTCTAGCCAGAGCACAAATGGGGAGCCAATAGCTACCAGTGTGATAGTTTCTGGCGGATACGAGGATGACGAAGACGGTGGCGATGTGATAATCTACACGGGTCATGGAGGCCAAGCTAAGAATCATTCAAGGCAAGTTGTTCACCAGAAGTTAGAAGGAGGAAATCGTGCCATGGAAAGAAGCATGCATTATGGAATTGAAGTGCGTGTGATTCGAGGGTTCAAATATGATGGAAGCGTTTCCAGTAAAATTTACGTTTATGATGGCTTGTATAGAATTGTTCAATGCTGGTTTGATGTGGGTAAATCTGGATTTGGGGTTTACAAGTATAAACTTGTTAGAATTGAGGGCCAACCTGAAATGGGTAGTGCTATTCTCAGACTTGCTCAGGCTCTTAGGACTCGTCCTTTGTCTGTCAAGCCAATGGCTTATCTCAGTCTTGATATTTCTAACCAAAAGGAGAAGGTTCCTGTTCGTCTTTTTAACGACATAGATAGGGATCATGAGCCTTTGCGTTATGAATATCTTTCCCGGACTAATTTTCCACCATTTGTATTTCATCAAACTGGGAATGCTACCGGTTGTGACTGCGTTGATGGGTGTGCTGATAACTGCTTTTGTGCTATGAAAAACGGCGGCCAATTCCCTTATAATCTAAATGGGATTCTTGTGAGAGGGAAGCCTGTAATTTTTGAATGTGGCCCTTTCTGTCGTTGTCCTCCACATTGCCGAAATCGGGTTACCCAGCATGGGCCAAAAAATAGATTGGAAGTGTTTCGGTCAAGGGAAACAGGTTGGGGAGTGAGGTCATTGGACCTTATTCATGCGGGTGCTTTTATCTGTGAATATGCAGGGGTTGTTCTGACTATGGAGCAAGCACAGATTTTGTCAATGAATGGAGATTCATTGATATATCCGAGTCGGTTTTCTAATAGGCAAGCCTCAGAATGGGGTGATTTATCTCAAATATACTCTGATTATGTGCGTCCATCTTATCCATCAATTCCACCTTTAGATTTTGCGATGGATGTGTCCACAATGAGGAATCTTGCTTGCTATATGAGCCACAGTTCAATACCTAATGTGTCGGTTCAGTTTGTGCTGTATGATCACAATAATTTGATGTTTCCTCACCTTATGCTATTTGCATTGGAGAACATCCCTCCAATGAGGGAGCTCAGCCTTGATTATGGAGTGGCTGATGAATGGACTGGAAAGCTTTCTATATGTAACTGAGTGATTTTGGAAGACTCATACTCCTTATAAAATGTTGAAGCTGAATTTTGGGCATGATACACTTGAGGTAAAGCCAAGTTCCATATATTTTATTTGTTTCTACAGTTATCCTTTTTCCATTTGTCCAAAGCATTATCTTTTAACTATATAGTTATTTCTTATTAATTACATCATTCCCTGTAAACTATCATATATGGATAGCTTTAGGAAAGTTACCTTACTGTCTTCTGTCATCTTAGCAGTTAATTTTGTTGGCTTTTCAAAATGATCAAGTATCATGACTGCTCTTATATATTAGCCCCTTTTGTAGTATTTGCTGGTTATAGCAGTCCCAATCTGCTGGTTTGTGTATCAATTTTCTCCATTTATACTTCATGTGAAATTTTGTGTTGCATATCTGAAGATTCCCTTCCACATCTTAATATGTATTGAGTACGAAATGAACCAATCACCCAAAAAAAGAAGTATGAAATGAACCGCTCTCTTTAAGACAGTATTACTTTGATACTGAAAATGATGATTCCCTTCGTTCCAAATTTCCTCTTCATCCTGATTCTAACATAATTTAGAAGAAGTTTATTCAACCGTTTGAACTTGCTTCTCTGTTAGTTGTTGTGGAAATAGGTTTTAACTTGGTTTGTTCTCTATAAAGTAAAAGCAAAATCAAATGATAAGGTTACTAGCTCTGCATTGCAAAAGGTTATTTAGAACTAGCAAATGACAAACAATCCATCTTGATGACGTAACATGTGAATCTATTTTGCATTCTAATGCACCACTTGAGGTTATAAATACATTACATGTAGCAAGTATTCAATGTTCTTTGTCTTTCTCATGGTTATGCTATATCAGTCTGAAAAAAAGAATGCACATAAATCTCTAACATGGCCGCCAATTTGAGAATTTTGAACGGGGCGTATCACCTTTGATTGGATCAATTTTAAAGTAGTAATGAACTCATGATAGGATATGAAAAGAGCTTTTACTGGATTTCCGAAAACCTGGTCGGTCTGTTTCTAATGCTAAAGCCAGTTTTCAGGATTGATTGAATCATGCATGTAACCTACTCACGGTCTGAATGACTAAACTGGCTAATCTAGTCTGCTGTTGAAAATATTGATTGAAATACTTATGAATAGAGCGGCAGCAATCAGAAGGCGTAAAAACTATTCTATCTTGTAATAAAAATAACGGCAAAGAAACACCTTCTGATTTATCTTCAATGCCCTCGATCAGTGTTCACTGGGAAACTGCATATATTGCGCATTTTGCTAAGACAACGAAGCACATCTAGTTCCTGCCATAATCTTGAAAGCTTTTCCTGGGAAGCTGCTACAAAGTGAAAGAATGTATCTTATTTTTTGGATAGAAAGGCAAGCTGAAAGGCTTGAAGATTTTTTTTTTTAAAGAACATATCTTATGCTGAGCCAAAAACCTAATTAGGCAGATACGTATTTTTGTTCCCTTGGGGTTCGGCTCCTTCAAATTCTTATTGGCATTTCGGAACCACAGTATTTGTGGATAACTATTGATTAGAGTGGATGCTTATCGGTTGCTCAACCACATTTTATTATGATCTATAATATGACTTCTTACCAGAAACTAGAATACAGAGAGGCTCATACTCTAGATTGCTTGGTCATAAAGGTTTTAAGTTATCTAGTGAAGACCACGGAAATCATAATCCAACGCTCATGAACGGCAATCCATTGTACATTATATGTGGTATGTGCATGATGCACTTTAGAAGATCCTTTTCCATCTTACTGATATATAATTTAAATTAATTAAATGGAGTCTCGGTTATATATGTTTGAGCTAAGGCTCAAATAACAGCATGAGACATGCTACAGATAATTTGGTAATATTTACTCATTTATACAGATGATGTATAATTGACCTCTTGCAATTATGTGTTTGATGTGCGCCTTCTGTCTAGAGCTTGCCTGCAATTACTACTGTTTTATATACACTCTGTGACTAGTGATCTCTTGTATTCCTTATGTGTATTTGTAGCCATAAAATGGGCTTATGCTATAATAGGCACCAACCCACAACACATTGCCACATAACATAGCTACCAGGCTTTTCTGACATCGTCCTTCTATGACGCCTGGCCTGTTAAAAGAACTTCAATTCTCATCCCATCACGCGCCATATCCTGTTTGATCTCCTTTATAACCATAGAAAGTTTTACTTATAAATCCTGTTGAAACTTCTCCCATATGACTATATGTGTGACTTCTTGATTATCACGCGCCATATCCTCATTGGAAGGATTATCCAATCCAAGTTCATTCAGAAGTTATTGAGCCCTTATAAGTTCACATATTGTTTGGTTCATAACCTGCTATTCAAATTTTGCACTATATTTGGCAATTATAGTTTGCTTTTCTCTTACTAGTCAAAAGATTTCTACTAATAGAAACACAGTAACATATGCTTGACTTCCTATCATCTAGAGATTTGGCCTAATGAACATCTGTGAAGGATTAAACTCTCATGTGGCCATGGTTGCGATGCAACATTACTTTTCCTGGGGATTTATTTGAGTACTGCAGTCCTTCACTAAGCGAATCTGTGTCTCCTACGGGTGGTTGGTATAGAAATAAACTGGCTACTATACTAATTTGGAAAGTATTGTCTGGTGAATGACTCAAACCCTGGTGATTATTTATAACCATAAACTGGGCTAACGTCAGGATAGGCTCAACCCGCAAGATGTTAATGCATGGCTTAACTTCCACACTATTCTAATGCTTGGCAAACTTCATGTTAGCATCTGGTAAGGCCTATCATTATCACCTTATCTGATTCTTTGACTTGAAATGCTGCAAGTTCTTATCAGAGGCACTCTAACAAGCAGTTGCTTTTCAACATTTGCTGGCCAAATGGACTGTACAAAATAATAGTTGCCGGGTCGCAAAACTACTTTTCCTTCTACTTTTCTTTAATCTATTATAATTTAATATGATATATCTTGTTGGCATTTTATTCCCTGGATACTTGAACTATATGCAATTATTGTTCCAGCTTTTGCAATTTTGCCATCAATGTTGCATTCTAAAATAATCCGATGGTCAGTAGTGACAACGAAAGTATATCTTAGCTTACAAATTTTATCGATTATCTTGTATTCTCTGCCACTTGAACTGCGTTGAAACTTATGAAATAAATAGTTTTAGAATAGTATTAGTCTTCTTTATGTAGTTACACTACAGCAAGTCCCTTATTGGTTGTATCACAAGCATGACATCTTTCTTATGGATTTACACGGTAACAAAAAATATGTTTACAAATGTTGTGGTTGAGCTGTAAGAAGCCAGTACTGAAACTTACTGTTAGTTCTCGACTTCTTGTGACGGTCTGTCTTTCCTTTCCTTTGTTTTATTTTTCCTGAACGGCAAGCATGATGGCCAAGCTAATTACAAATGTTGCTTATTCATATTACTATGAAGAATGTCACTACCAATGTGTCTGTGCAACTGACCTGGTTCTTTCTGTTGTTCTTTACCCACATCTGCCTTTGATTTACATGGAACGGGCTTTCATCGCTATGAGTTATTAAGGCCAATCATAATCTGAAAATTACTGTCCTGGTATATTAAATAATAGAGTATAAGCTGACTTTTATGTGTATTCATATGCTGCAGAAATCCAAGAGGTTTCAGCTTCTTCATTTTACCTGGGAGTGTTTGCCCTGATGCTACATGAACTCTTATCAGGGAATCAAATGATTGTCTTGCACTCTTATATATGCTGTCTCTCACACTCGTTGGCGTGGTGCATTTATCTTCTGTATGGTGGAAAATAAATAGGAAATCAGGGTGCTCTGTCTGCTGAGCTCTTCTCTAAATCAGTCCTCAATTACTGATGATGTCAATTGTGTATCCTGTGCTGCTTGGCGAATGGCGAAGCATTTGCAGGTCTTGTCACTGCCAAGTGTGAGAATGTAACTCAGCTGCATCGACTTTTTTTGTGTATATAATGGTACTTGTACAGCAATGATATTCATGATTGGCTTTTGCTTGAAGTTTAATTGCTTTCCTTAACGTTAGGGACGAGTGAAGAGAATTACTGCTTTGTAAAACAGCAGATTCTATGAGAACTCCACTTCCAAGAGTATTTTATTTAACAATATGCCTGTAAATAAAGGAAAAAGGATTATAATTTCACTTGTAAACTGACCATGTGTTTTATTTCAGCAAATTGCTCATGATCATTAAAACACGCACCCGAAATTCATATTTTTAATGATTCAAATTAGAATTGGAGCCAAATATTAAATATGTACAATGATTCATATTTAATTATTAAAGAACTAATTTTCATGGCAAAAAAAAAGATATATTTTTTAAGTTTTAAATTTTCGAAGAAACTTTAATAAAAATTAAAGAAGGGAATATCACAGAGAATTCCCACCAAATATATTGCCCTAGTGGCAGAGCAGGGTAAAGGTTATATCCCCAGGCCAATTTGGCCTTCTTCCCAATGGGGGCTAAAAAAGGGCAAGAATTCCTCCTCCCCAATTCTCTTTTCCCTATGATTTAAAAAAAAAAAAAAAAACAAAGAGAGAGACTCTCCATTCCTTCACTCTCCGATTTCTCTGTGCTTCTAATGATTTAACCGTCACATTCGACTTCACAATCTCGCTATCTCTGGTGGTCATGCTCGTCTTGGGTTCCTGAAGCTTTCGCTGAATCAGAGTTTGCCACTTCTTTCAGGTAATCATAGGTTGTAGCCTTCAATTTCTGCCCTAATCATACTTTCCACCTTCTCTTCTTTTTCCCTACGCCATCGACATCTCCAAAGCTGCAAAACTAATTGAGATTTCTTTCGCATTCCGTTCGAAGTTTGTGGGCTCATTGTCTTCTGCTTCGGGTTGTAGAAGGATAGAAAACGGCTCTTAAGCAGCGTTTTTAAAATTTTTCATCCCATGAAAAGACGGCGTCGTTTCCAGCAGACGGGTTAAAAACCGGTAGCCCGCCTAACCCAACGGATTATCCGGGTTGAATATCATATTTTTTTGGGATATGTCGTGTCGTCTGATCCTAAAGGTCCATCACAATTGGGCGTTGGGCAGAATACGACCACGCCACACCCAAGAATCGTTCGGATATCTGTTGAGGAGACAGGCACTCTCAGTAGTGAGCTCCTTCAAGCTCGCTCATCTTTTCGAACATAAATGGCGTCCACAGTTTTTAGAGGCTTTCAAGCGAACCCCTTTCTGCTATATCCAGTATCACTACTCGGGAGAAAAAATGGGGCCATGTACTGCACAATGAAAAGCACACAATCCCAAACTGCCACACAGGAAAAGCAATCCTCCCAAGCCAATGTTTCGCCATCTAGTACCCAATCCAAAAAATTGAACAAAATCGCAGAAAACTTTGAAGCAATCATTGGTATAGAAACCCATGTTCAGCTTTCCACTCTAACCAAAGCTTTTTGTGGCTGCCCTTACAATTATGGGTCTTCACCTAATACCTCTGTCTGTCCGATTTGTATGGGCTTGCCTGGTGCTTTGCCTGTTTTGAACTCCAAGGTCATAGAGTTTGCTGTGAAATTGGGTCTTGCTCTTAATTGCAAGTTGTCTCTGAACTCCAAGTTTGATAGGAAGCAATATTTCTACCCAGATCTTCCAAAAGGGTATCAAATTTCTCAGTTTGATGTGCCAATTGCTACCGGTGGTTACATTGATGTGGATCTTCCAGTGGAGTATGGTGGTGGCCACAGGAAATTTGGCATTACCAGAGTTCACATGGAAGAGGATGCAGGGAAGCTGCTACATGCAGAAAATGGTAGCTACTCTCAGGTAACCGCTCTATCCCCTTCACTTGATTTTCTATCCTAAACGTTGCACTGACTGATTCAGTTTCTTGTTTAACATGCTTTAATATGTATATATGGTTCTGAGTTATATCCTTTTTACTTATAATCAATTTCAAATGCCCTTCGATATTAATATAACTTGGGCAACCCGCACTGTTCATCGTATTTGAACAAATTTTTGTTTTGGATTCATGGTCTTCAAAAATTGTGGAGGCCTTAAATAGTCGTTATTCACGGCATAATTTTGTGGTTTATCATGACAGGTTGATTTAAATCGGGCAGGGGTACCATTGCTTGAGATAGTTTCTGAACCTGATATGAGGAACGGTATTGAAGCGGCAGAGTATGCGGCGGAATTACAGAGACTGGTTCGGTATTTGGGAGTGAGCAATGGCAATATGCAAGAAGGTTCTCTTCGTTGTGATGTGAATGTCTCAGTTCGACCCATTGGGCAATCTCGCTTTGGGACAAAGGTATCCCTGGGAGGTTTATTGATGTTGATAATAAAATTGCATGAATACTTTGTTCATGCTTTGAAATTACGTAGATCTTGTCCCTACTCTAAATATTATTCGAGGATCTGTGTTTACGTTGAGCTATCTCTGTGCAGTCTTCAGGCTGAAAAATATTAATGATATAATGACAATGGAACTCACATTATTCTCTGCCGCTCCTTCTGATTAATTTACCGAGGCTCCGATATTTCTTACCTGGATATAACATTTTAAGGGTGGTGACAGGAAGGTATTATCTGAAATAATTAATCTTGTCAGCATTTGCGCCAGGACAGCTGTTGACATCATTTAATTGGCGACTTTCATTACCTGAAAGAATAAAATGCAGAGCATTTTTACAAATCAAGCATGTAGACGAGCAAAATGACATATCTTTACGTATTGAAAAAAATTGTATGTAAAATGGCTTGATCCTTGTTTTTTCATTATGGTGAAGTATTTAAAATGACTTGACTTCTTGTTTTTTCCCCCTCGTGACAATGCAATATGAAATAGTACAATCTTTTACAGATTTAGCAGCTGATATTATAAATTTTATTGACAGGTTGAAATTAAAAATTTGAATTCATTTTCATCAGTGAGTAGAGCCATCGATTTTGAAATTTCAAGGCAGGTGCAACTTCATAATCAAGGTCAGCAAGATCAGATTGCACAGGAAACTCGTCTTTGGGAAGAAGGCGCTCAGGCTAGTACTAAATTGTGATATTATTGTGGTTTTTTAGTGTAGCAGGTAAAAAATAGTATTCACTTCCTGCATTCTTATTTACGTAAAGAAATTTTGTTATTCTGTTTAGAGAACAGTTACAATGAGGAAAAAGGAAGGGCTGTCTGATTATCGATATTTTCCAGAACCAGATCTTCCTGCAGTCTTCCTTTCCAAAGAATATGTTGATGATATTCGCAATTCCTTACCTGAGCTTCCAGAAATAAAGCGTAGAAGATATGAGAATATGGGCTTAAGCATGCAAGATGTTCTTTTCCTTGCTAATGATAAAAATGTGAGTACTTCGTTGTTTCTAAAAGCTATGGTTGGGTTTCTTTATCTGATCATGTTCTCTCTCTCTCTCTCTCTAATTCTATATAGGAATCTATAAATATTAATTTGCTTTTTATGAATCTTCAGTTATTATACCAAACTTTGCATTTAAGGGAGTGAATATAAAGTTAACTTGCTGCTGGAAAGTATTTTCACTTATGATTGGCATGTTTTTTGTTTTCTGGACGGATTTATCAGATTGCAGAGTTTTTCGATGCTACCCTTGCCAAAGGTGCTGATGTAAAGCTGGCTGCCAATTGGATTATGGGCGATATTGCCGCCTTCATGAAAAATGAAAAGTTGACTATAAATGAAATTAAGCTTACACCTGAAGAGCTGTCCGAGTTGATAGCTTCCATTCAAGGTGGAGTTATCAGTGGCAAGATTGGGAAGGAGGTATATTTTATTTGTAACTTGTCGATAGTGCATATTTAAGATCCCAGCTTTACTAATTCTTGCACACCATATTTTATCACTTTGCCTAGATCTCATTAACTCATCTAACGGCTATTGACATTAAGGCTTTCATCAGACACACACACGGATCCACATATTTTCCCTTATTAAATTTCAGAGAATTAAAATAGTGTAATAGTTAATTTTGTTTGTATGTCTGGGATAAGGACCAACTCAGCTTAGTCACAGAGAATCGGATTGACAGACAAGGATGTCCAATATGCGGCATTTATTTTGTAAAATATGTTGATCTGTGTAGTTCAATTTTCACGGTGCGCCATTTCTTGCCGTTAAACTTTTATATTCTGTTTCACTTCTTTTTTTCTCCCTGTTCTCACATGTTGAATAGACTTAGGATACAAACATCAGATTCTTTTTCTTTCTTTCTTTCTTTTTTAATAGTTTGATTGACTTGGCTCAATGTGTAATAATCTGTATTTACTATGTTGCAGCGAATGTAGAAGGAAGTAAGATGTTTAGATACTTTAAGCTATGTCCTATTTATTTATTTATTCATTTTGTAATATTTGTACATGCTGCATGTTTACAACTCTTGCCTTGTGATGTGTTTGTAGATATTATTCGAGCTGCTAGCCAAGGGTGGAACCGTTAAGGGGCTGATAAAAGAAAAGGATTTGGTTCAGGTAAGTTGCAGAATATGTTATAGGACTCCCGTGTGTCATTCATTTTCGTTACTTTCATTTTATTGTTGTTCAAAGAGAACCGCAAAATGTGGAATTTTAATTGAGTTGGGGTGGAAATTGGTTTCTTAAAAGCTAGTGAACTTTACTTTGAATATTCCCAGTAGATGCTTACTCTGAATTAAGCAGAGGAAGACATGCATGTATATGAAAAACCTTAAGTCCTATAGATTCTATTTTCTGAAATTATCTCCCCTATAGAGTTCCATGGCCCCGTGAATTCACGAGGTTTCTACCAGCAATTCATTCCGCCACATCTTAAGAGAGGATTACATTTACGTGCTCTTTGTGGGTTTCTGCAAATCGCCTTTTTGGTTTGTATTTGGAAGGTTCTCCTGAGTTAGCTCAGGCTGTCTCCTTTGTACTTAGCTTGTGTGGGGAGTACTGCTTTCTTGTCCATTGTACCTTTCAGTAATTTTCTCGCTTATTGATATGCCAGCTGTAGTCACAATAGAAGAAACTTGGGTGATGCATAAAGAAGCATATAACAGTTGTTGTAGCCATAAACTACTTCAGTTGATCAGTGTGTTTCTGGGAGAAAATTTGTTGATATTTTGATTAGATTCAATGATTTCATTTTCAACCGTAGTTGGCCCCAGTTACAATTTTCAGTTCGAGCTTGATTTTTTCCATTTCTGTGATGGTGAAGATCCATGAATGAAGTTGTATTCCTAGAAAATGTGAGCCCATGCTTGTGAATTTGGAAATAACAGATAACAGATCCTGCTGAGATTGAAAAAATGGTGGACCAAGTGCTTGCGGAGAATCCAAAGCAGCTAGAACAATATCGTGGAGGCAAAACTAAGCTACAAGGTTTTTTTGCTGGCCAGGTATTCACTTGTGGAGTTCGAAGCCCCTTTTCGTTTATTTTCTTCCCTTTTCTTTTATTTTTTAAAAATGTTTTGCCCATCTGTTTCTGTTTTTCGGATATTTGTAACTACAAATGTCTTCGAATAACAGGTTATGAAATTATCTAAAGGGAAGGCAAATCCAGGGCTCCTTAACAAGGTCCTCTTGGAGAAGTTGAACTCAACGAGCTGATGCTAATGGATTGCTGTTTGCACACTTAATTTTGGCACTTAGCTTGATTGAAATATTGTCTTCTCATTTTCTTAGAACGGGCTGCTAGCTTTGCGGAGTATATAACCTTGCATCCTCCGGTCAGGGATAAATAGGTAGGCGATGCATTCATGCTGGGCAAGTTAGTGACCGTGGCAGCCTAAATAGAGCCGTGAGAACGATTTGCTTGGACTAAATAGAGCCTTCAGATGCTTTTTATTATGCTTGTTATTATTTTCAGAATGCAAGGTGTCGTCCGAAATCTCTGCGCTTTTTCGCCGTCCTTCGTTTTCCTGCGAGTGATTATTTGTATGTGTGTTTTGTAATGCTATTGTTCATATACCTAACTTTGCCTTGTTATTTAGTAGCTGAATAAAGCCAAAAATTGAAAGGGGTTGATTATCTAAATGATCTAGGAATCCTCGTTTGAAATTTATTGTTATGTTCAAATAAAATATAATTAAATAAATATATATATTCTTTAATTGAAAGTAAAAACTTAAAAATAAGATCTCTTATTGGGATAAATACCCAAATTTAACACCCGACACTGTTTCCAAGAGGATACGTATATGTACCGGGCTAAAAAACTTAAGAAGATGAGATAAAGACATTTTTTTATAAGAAATTGAGACCTTTTTCCATTGCTTAAAGCTCAATGATGTATTTAAATAGGTGATTGTATATTCAAAACAATAATATAGTTGCAAAGATTTCAAGTTTCATGGTTGATGACTTGATGTGAGAAAATCAATATAAAAATTATTCTTTGGCCAAACCAAAAAAAAAAAAAAAATCTCTCAACAAGTGGGGAACCTTTATATTCTGCATATTCTAAAGCCCTCTTTAGCTAAATTAAAATTCCCTGAACCAAAAAAACCACGAGAAAAATTTTAAAAAATAAGTATAATGAGACCTAAAGTTCATCGTGCATTAAAACCTCTGCATTATGAACCCGAGTATCCCTAACTTGGAGATTCATATCATCAGCAACAGCTGGGGGTCTCAAATCCACTTGCCCCACCAAACCAGCCTTCACGGCTTCAGTAACCTTTCTCTGCAATTTAAGCAGTCCAATCCGCTTGGAAACAACATACAGCACAGCAAGGGAGAACAAGAAAAAGCCAACCCCAAGTATGATCCTGTCCAAATATGTCTTGTGTGATAAGCGAATCACCATGAGACCAAACGAAGGGGTATGCAGAAAAAATCACGTTCACTTTTACTTCCCATACCTGTCCATGACATCTTGACGTTGCATTGTAGAAAGCAGATTTCGTGTTCTCATCAACAAAGAGCGTTGCCCTTTGTATTCACTTTCAGCCTTCTTTAATACTCCCGTTGATTCGTCTGTATATTTTAAACAGTCATTCCAGATAAAAAGCATGCGACACAGTTAGTTCACATTGCTCCAAACTTCTTTCTTGAAACAATTTTATGGTCATAATTCCAGATTCCAAATGTCTGCAAGAGGTTTGACATCAATCTTGTTCGATAACACACGCATATGATATATAGAATCACCACTCTTCATAAGGTAATTTGCAAACCCTAAGAGTTTCTATTCTTAATTTTTCCTATTGTGAAAAAAATCTTCAAGGTTATTGATTAAAATGATATCTGTAAGCAGTTCACAAAGGCAGCCTCACTGAACCCAAGCAATATTTAGAAGGCCTGATTTTGTTTTTTAGTAAAGGGAAATGGGAGTAAAGAAATAAGAGCTTAAGGTTTACTGATGAAGACCTAAGCGATCATGAGGATCTAACCGTTTATGTATGAAATTAACATTTTCATGAAATATAGCAAGGGAGGCAGAGAGTGGAGAAATACATACCAACTGTCATAAGTGTGCTAGTGCTTCTCTCAACCTCCTGCATAAATATAGTGAGTATGTTCATCTATTTTGTCATGAAGAGGCTATGATCAAGCAGAGTTCTATAAACAACAACAGAATGCTCTCACAAATTAAAAGAAAAACCAAGATAGGATATAACATTTAAAGAGGATGAGTTTACTTTGATTATGATAAATGACAAACGAGAGATACCAAGCCACTGACCTGAACCATCAACTGGCGAGTTCGGCGGAGGCTTTCTGTGATGCTCTCCGCAGCAGATGTCATCCCAACTTTTGTTCTGGAAGTTAAACAATTAGACAACTTAAATATTCATCATGGTCTTCTAGCTAATTGAATTTTTCAGTAGAAGGAGATACAAGATACAAAAACAAGCAAGCACATGTTGACACCAGCCGAATATTACACCCACAACTTACTGTAAGTTGCGTCTGCGAACGGTGGATTCTCCTCCACCACCTAGAAGTAGCTCTCTCTGCATCATGCAGAAACAGAACAAGTTACACAAATCCATCCAGAGAACTACAAAATAACACAAGTAATCATGACAATGAACAGATTGTACAACGAAATTATCATTATTCACTATCCACCCATAGCGCGTGGAGTGCTGGTTGATAAGATAATTAGCTGATTATATTTTAATGTAGCATAAAGAATATAATAATTTGAACAACTCATTTAAGAGAGAAAGATGCTCGCGAAATGAACAGAAAAATGCCAAGGTTATCGAGTCAATTGCCTCCTCTTGGGCAGCTTTCCTCATATTTTCCTTTGCTTGCAGATTCGCATTCCTCAGACTTAATCGCAAACTGTAACAAAACAATCAGATATTATGAAGGAAATCACAAGATCATGACTCATATAATTCAACTCATGACTTACAACGTAAATCAGAGCTTGTGATTTTAGCAAGACTCAGTAACAGTATTAACTAGCAGCAGTTACAAGAGAAAGCATCGTAAGAAAAATAAGTGATTCCGTTGGCTCCCCGATACTGACCATAGAGAAGACAGCCTTGGGATGGGAGGCCAAGGAGCAAATTTTCATTTGTTTTCAATGAAAGCTAGAAGTAAACAGATATTGCACTAAGATCCCCAACATGGACACAGCACTTATGAAAGAAACAAGTGAATAAAAAAAAAAAACCTCTGGCTTTGGGTTTTCCAGGATTCAAGCACCGTGCTAGCAGATTCGACCTCTTCGTCAGTGGGCAACTGTGGAGCAAGAAGATCAAGCCTGAACTGCAAGGAAGAAAGCAATGCCAATCCATCCTGAGCGATCCCATTGAGCCTGGGAAGCGAATTTTTCTCCTCGGATCTCCCTGGTTTCCCATATTCTCCAATTGCCTTTATATGCTCTTGCGTTTTACTGTACGTCTCGTACCATTCCCTCTTTACCTTCTCAACCTCTTGCACAACCTCGTCCATCATGAGACCTGATGCTGATTCTGACGAAAAACCAAAAAAGAAAGGGGTTTGCTACATTTTCTGGGAAACAAAAAAGGATAGGTGTCGAGAATTACATAATTGAGATGGGAAAGATGACGGTGAGTGACAGCATCCAAGAATCACCTTAGAAGAAGATGGTTTCAAGGTAATCTGAAACTTGAAATTCATTTATCTGAGATAGCTCCACGAAAGACGACCATGACGGAGAGGGATGATCCCGACGTCCGGATACAATGAGGCAGGGGATCTGCGAAGTTATGTAAAGCAAACGGATGTGAACCGTTGGATCGATGAAGTCGCTGGGATTACGCCACGTGTCCTCCGAAGGTGATGCTTCGCTGAGCTATGACTGGTACAGTGCTGGGTGCTGGCATCTTCAAAGTCGATAACTTCACATGGTGGTGGGCATGGTTGAAGACAAATTGACACAGACGCTGTATGGAGAGATGAATAGAAATTGTGGTGGAAGCCGAGGGGAAATGGATTTGTGGACGTGTGGAATTGAAGGTGGAGATGAATAGATGATTTTCGGTGAAGGAATCCGTGGATGAATGAATTAAATGGAGAATCCAGATATCTCAAGGTCCTGGGTTTTTGGAGGAATCAAATATACAAACCACAGAGTGGAAGAGATGGAAGAAGGGAAGAGAGCTGCTGGTGAAATGGCTGGTAAGAGGAAAAAGCCGAATGGAGGATTAATTCATGGGAAATGACGGCGTATGAGCGGATTGCGGGGTCGGTGTACTGGAGTGAAGTGAATGGGATGAGAGAATCCCAGGGGAGAAGAGAATGAAGGAAAACGGTGACGACTGACGAGTCAAGACTGAGAATGAATTGCGTCGCAAACATTAATTTCTTCTTTCTTTATGCTTGGCACTTAAATTAATCCCCAAGTCTTCCGAAGAAAGATTCAGAATAACTGAAATACACTAGGAAGTAAGTACAAAATTTTTCAATTACCTGAAGCACAAGCAAGCACAACTAAACTTCAATTAGCCAAAATTAAATGCCAAAATAAAACATTTAATCATGTGAAAATAATTGAAAAATTTCAAGGACGAAGCGCCGCTGTGGAAGATAGGCGTGGTGGTGTTCCCCCTGTAGGTTGGTGGCGCTCCTCCGTACAACTCCGCTTTCGCTCTGCCCTGCGGCCGCCCGCAGTTTTCGCGAGAGCTTCTAGAATTGTGCAATTAGGGAAGACGAAACGGGATTGGAGATGGCGAAAGCGAAAACGGAATCCTCAATGACGGCGAAGAACGTGTTCCTAGAGGAACCAAAACCGGAGCCAAACAAGTGTGATGGATTGGACGAGTATGAATGGGAAAATCTATCAAAACCCCTGTTTGATCCACTGGATGGACGAGTCAACGAAGGATTTAAGTCTCATTCTCTGTTATCACCGTTAATGGCGATGCTTAGCTTATCTGCGACCGCAGAGAAGTTCATTGAGACACTAACTAGCTGTTTTTTTGTTAAAAAAACGCAAAATTGAGTGCACGGAATGGGTCACAACATACGATAAGTGCGAAGCCGAAATGAGACGTGCTATTAATGAACATTTCCCATCTTTTCTTGTTTGATCAAAATAATAGTTTCCTCCCATTTTGCAGGGAAGAACAGTAATGCAGCTGCTGCAACTATATCTAACAAAAATGCTGCAGTCACTGCTTCCTGAATTACCTCATCTTGTGAAATCGACAACATATACACATTAGAAGAGCCATACATTTGTATAAATGACTGGCTAGATTACAAAACTGAAAGGTAGAGTTTTCCTACATTTATCTAGTGAGTAGTGGCACATTCTGATAAAAGGTTAGATGTGCCGAAGTTCCGATGGTTACCATCGGCAATGTTGGTTAGTTGGAAGCCTTGAGCAGGAAGCTGGTTGATGAGCAGAGTTTCTAGTTGGCAAGCCAGGCTCTTTCCTGGCACAAGGAAATAGAGGAAATATGCATCCTGCGTTCCTTCCTTTGTCCGATGAGCATGAACTCGACCCGCCAGATCATCAGTCTATCACCAGCTCAGCAACCATTCGAAAAAGTAAGCATCCGCATTAGACAAGGGGCAAGAATAAATTAAGAGAAGATAATAAATAATCCTTCATAGTAATATATTTAGTACCTCTCCAACATAAAGTTTCTTATCTGGTCTGATAATCACATAAACACTTGAAGCACCAATAGTTGATGGCGGAGGCTGTTCCCTTGGACCAATTAGAACACACTTGATCTCAGTAGGCGCTGATATGTTCTTTTTTCCATGCAGCTCCATCATCCTGTCCTCGCATATTGAGAAGATAGCACTCTCAACTTTCCGACGTAAAATTTCTGTTTGGTTAACTGATGCCATTCTTTCTTTGGCACCTCTTTTTATAACCTTTCTGGTGGAGTGGAGATGCGATTCATTGGAACTATCAACATTTGCATGAGAAGCTAGGTCTTTCTTTGAGAAATTTTCCCGAGGAAGCAATTCCTGCGCAGAAACTGAGAGATAAAGATCTTCAGCTCTTTGGATAATAGTCTCAGGAATTCCTTCCCTCTTAGCTGTTTCAAATGCAAGACTCTCTTTACATATCCCATCAATCAGCTTCCAAGTTGGCTTTGTTTGTCCATCAATACATACTGTCCCCATTGCTTTGTAAACAGTGTTTTTGGTGTTTAGAGGCAGATCAAATATTCCATGCAAGTGAGTGGATACAATGCCCAAACAACCAACTTCATCGAAAGTTTCAATGATGCTGCCTGCGATACAGGTTCCTTTTGCCGTTTCTGTTCCTCGGCATATCTCATCAACAAGCACAAGGCTTCTTTTGGTTGTTCCAGCAATGATAGATCTAAGCTCTGACATTTCCACCTGATAAAGATCAACATGAATGAAACATCCAAGGCCGCAACAATTTCATATCTGGAAAAACAGAGACCTGCCAACTCTTTATGCTTTCTTCAGCATATACGTTGCAGGACACTCTGATTAGAGAAGTACAACATCAAAAATTTCTTGTTCATCTTTCACACCAAACTCTAATTTATACTAGCATTAGATAGACTTTTAAGGCCCCATTATAAAAGATGACAATATGAACCTAATATTGTCAAAGTGCTGCTGGCTGTAAGGAGTGAGAGAGGGCAAAGGCAAGACTGGGATATTGTCAGGTCCAGGATATGTTAATCTTGGCGTCAAACTACTAGTAGGCAAAGAGGAATATCACCAGCAAGAAGCCTTATCCCACCAAGTCGTTTATATTAATTGCATAACACCATAATGTATCTATCAATATCTAATTCAAGAAAGAGGAATATCACACCCAAAAAAAAAAAATCTAATCAACCTTAATCACCCTAAAACTTCCTAATGTCCTAAACCAATCTTTATCTTAACTTCTTTCCTTTGCTAGGCAGTTCTTTTAATCACAGGAGAGCAATAATGGTCACTATCTTCTTTTTTTCCGCTCAACACTATTAATGTTCATACAGACACGAGAGCACTGGTCTGATGAGCCTAAGGACCCACCATGACCTAGCCTTTGTCACGCGCATTCTGAAAGATAGAAGGATGTAAGTTTGGTAAAAATGATTGATTATAAATTGATGGAGAATTCAGCAATTCTCCAGCAATTAAGTTGATGTCATTCACAAAAAAGGGTTTGAAACAATTGGGCATGCATTATAGGCATTTTAATTAGACAAATAACCATGAATAGATTGTCATGACAACTATTATTTAGGGATTTGATTTAGACAGTACTTTCCAACGTTTGAAGGGAACTATGAAAATCTGGCTATATTAATGGCAGTAAATGAGGGTTTTTAAAGTCATCAACACCAGCAGTTAAAACTATAGCACGTGAAGGCTTGAAACCACTAAATGTGGTCTAGTGGTGACAGGTTTCAGGCAGTTTGTCAGCCTTAATAAGTAGGCTGGGGTAAGTTACACAGTACACATGGTCTTTTCCAGAAGCCGAGCCTCAGCACGCTTTACATTGATTACTTTGAAATTATATAAATATTCCATACATGCAAAGGATGAATCAGTTCCAAACCTGAAATGAACTTTTCCCATCAGCAGGGCTATCGAACGACTTCATGTGAAGCATGATAGAATCAAAATGAGGAATCAGGGCTGACTTTGCAGGAACCATGAATCCGCATATCCCAAGAAGTGAAGCAGCACAAATTGATCGAAGTAAGCTTGATTTACCACCACCATTTGGTCCAGTCAAGAGAAACAATGACTGCATATCAACAGTATTATGCACAGCACCTCCTTCTGCTACGTTGAACCAATATGGTAACAGGTCAACTATCTTCAGTCTATTGGTTTCACCCACCGTCTTAGCATTCTGCAACAAAAGTGTAACCGCTACTTAAAACAAGTTCTCAATAATAAACTGTGATTTTGGATCACAGACGAAGGAGGTTTAGTTTCTATGCTTTATTAAATGAAGTCTGATAGATATTTATACACCACAACCAACAAATCCATAAAAATCCCTTTAGTGATCCACCTACAAGAAATCCATATATACAATTTGCTTGAAAGAAGATATGCTGAATGACAACTAAGCAAGTTCACCTACTTCCTAATTTTTATGTGTTTATCAGAGATTTGCGTGAGCATGCCTCTGCCAAAAGGAGCACATGCATAGACACCAACAAACGCAAATGCATTTTGGCTGAAAAAATGCAGAGTATGGTGTAATAGTGTCAACGCATTGCAAAAAATGGTATGCGTCTCCAGCTTTATCTTGGCAAATTTCAATTCCTAGACTCAGGTCTAAGCCCGTAAGGAAGAAAACATTCAGATTTACGGATCATTGTAGGTACTCTTTTAGTTTTTATAGTCACAAGCAACCAGCAACTGATTCAATTATGATTTCAATCCCTAGAGAAATATTGCCAAATCCCATATTATTAGAGTCCTACAGCTATAGCTATAAGACTTTTAACTTCCTAGTAAAATAAACAAAAGTGAAGCTGTTAAGATTTTACCATTTGCTGTAAAAGCAAGTTGCGGGCATGTTTTTAGAAGCACACTAGGTTTCAAGTTACCTCAAAAGATGCAGCTTTCCATTAAGACTTGAAATATCATGGAAGTCACACAACTATACAAGACATGCAAATAGGAGGCAGAGAACACAGAACATTCATTACACCAAAGTGAAAATACTAACAGAACATCCAGTGTCTTGAGGAATTTTCTCCATTAAACAACTCATCAATTACTACCTCAAACCCATGGGGTTCTGCCAGCGTGGGAAAGACCCATCTCCTTCTTCTTCCTTCACTGTGAGCCATCAATGATCAAAATCAGAATCCATCCACTCAGTAAGATAGGCATCAGTATCTGATATTTTACACACGTTCCAAAATAAAGTAAAAGAATGTATCACAATCTGATTTAAGGGACTTTTTTTTTTTTTTTTTTCAAGTTAAAATTTCCGCCACAACTTCATTTGAAGTTATATGATTAAATTGAAAGTATGATTTACTGTCTTCCCATAGAAGTCGACCATTTCTGTGACACACTACAGCCTAACAAGGATTCTCTGCTACAAGATTCACAGCGCTTCATTAATGCTGCCATCACAGTTAACTGGTTAAGCAAAACTGCTATAGTGAAACTTTTTAGCTTAAAATAAATTCAAGCCCTAATATCATGTTCCAACAAAAGCACACTAGAACACAGACAAAATATTGTCATCAAAATTCTTTGCATGTATTTGCAATGATATCCTACAAATGAAGACATCTAATAACAGTCATGTTAATCAAATTCATCTTATCTTGCCAAATAAACGAGTGCACCAAGAGAAGATATATAATATCTCTAGCAGAAGCAATTATAAACATTTACAAACCTCACATGAGAGAATAGTGCTTTGGCAATAACAAGCAACATGGAGGCAAATACAAGGATGTTTATCTTGGATTGAAGTTCAGCAGAAAGCCCTCTTAAAAGTTCTAAAACTCTTGCTTTTGCTTTTTCACCAGATTCATGGTACCTGAATTGACATAAGCGTCTCGTCATTTATAATCATTAGCAGAAAAAAGATAAATATTTGAGTAACTAAAGAAAATGACTATGGTTCTCCTAAGCATACCTAGTTAAGGCAGCTTCTACCTTAATTGTGGTAAACCATTCCTCACCAACCTTTCTACCTTTAGAATCTAAAGCCGGTTTAAGTTGTTTAATTTGTTCCTCCCCAGGGCTACCAGCCCAGACAGTTGGAGCAAAGCGCTTGCCCTTAAACCAAACTGCTTCATGCTCCCGAGCATACAATATTTCTCCCTTTGGGCCTCCAAGTGGGGCCGTAGTAGCTTTTATCCTAGAGATTATAGGAACAAAATCTTCCTCTACCTGCACAGGTGCTATCTTCAGCCGGGGGAAAAAAAAAGACAAAAAAAAGAAAGAAAGAAAGAAAAAAGTCCTCCGAATATAATGCAAATGAAACATCTACAAAAATAACAATTGTTGAACTATTTGGAGGGCAGAAGATAGGGAGAGAGAAGGGGCCAAACCAAAATGTACAAATTGATGACGATGATGATGAAAATATGACACAGTCACTGACACATCAAACCCTATCTATATAATACTATCACCACATAAATACACCTTAGGCCGGAAGTTATGAAGCACCAGAAGCAACTATTTCCTTAACTATCAAAAAATCATGTAATAACAAAACACAATAAACCATAAACATAAATTACATAGCATTTGAGAATCCACATGAAGGAAAAAGAATGCACAATCTAGAATCAAGGCCTTTTCATTTTGCAAAAAACAGGCCAAGTTGAACTACAGATACATACAGCTAAAGACAGGGCCTCAGCAGCTCTTTCCACTTCAATAAATGCATCATCAATGTGGTTTCTTTTGACTCGACTTTTCCAAGAAGACTCCATATCCTCAAAAAATTCATCAGGAACGGCAGAAAAGGAATTGATTTTCTGATCATTTTCACCATCCAGATAGATTGTTTCACCAATCATATCTGAGATCACTTCACATCCAGCAACCTAGAAAATAGAAAACATTACAAACATTTACAAGCAAACACAATCCTAAAGAGGCAAACAAAAAGGCATGATAGAAGTATTTATTGCAATAGGCCTTGAATTTAATTGCTCATAAAGGAAAATGACACTGTGAGACATCCATTCTTGTTATCCTGCCCTGGCTAAAATACAGCATATAGAGCAAGGCTGGGGATAAAAACACAATAGTACATCCCTAAGATACTTTCCGTATTAAGAAAATGAAGGAAACAAACAGCGGCAATAAATAATTACACCCCACAAGATTGTTTCCCTTCAACAAATCAACAATTTCCCACATTCCAATCATATGCCATAGATTGCCACTCTTCATGGTATTGATCAGATTCCATCTTTCTCATGCTTAATTAATCTATGTGCCTAAGAAGTCATCACATTTACGATGTCATCCAAAATTGCTCAAGCTCAGTTCATTCATTAGAGGAGCCAAGCATGGACATAGATTTTAGCTTGACAAAAGCTCAGGTTCATGCCCAGACCAAGTATATCTTAATTCAACATGCTTGAACAAACTAGCGTTTGCCATGTCGGCTAGGCTTAGCTTGATTACTCCCTACTTAAAGAAGAAAAATTAAATGGTTGCTCTCCATTTATTAAGGCGAAGCCAAAGTAACCCATGCAAATTAGGTGACTCACCAAGGTCTCAAAATCAATTTTCAAGCCAGTTGCCACCCATGTGGGATCAATCAAAAGTTTCAATATCTCATTGAGCTCCGGGGTTCTGTACATCAACAGTATTTCATCAAGTGCATGCTTTATTCTGCAAAATTCAATATGATTGGCCTCCCTCAGTCCAAGTAGCTTCACAAGCTGCACAAACAAGGGAAGAATCACACGTGAACGTACACTTGCAGTAGAAAACAGTAAAATAGTTGAAATAAGGGGGAGCAAGAGCAATAGCATAATGAACAGAATAATATTGAAAGATCAAGAGTCGAGACTGCTTGAATAATTGGAAAAAGAGCACAGTATTTTCACTGCTGTATCGAAAGCAAAGCAAAGTGTTGATTTTTATATCAAACAACAGTCCCCATTTTCCTTGTGTGGAAAAACTGCCCCTACGTAAGTCTCCATACTGTTATTAACAATGAGCAAGCGAATGGTTTTCAGACACACACCATACAGCTGTGTTCACTTGTTACATTCTATTCTCCTCATGGATCTCATCCTTTTCATCACCAGATTCCCCATAATAGAATCAGGGGCAATCAGCTAATGATTTTGCAATGCTAGTAAAAATGTTTTAGATCAATCTGTACGTTTTGACTTATTGTCACATGCCACCATTAGCAACTGTAGAAATTTACCAATTATTCATTATTAACGTTCCAAAGTAACTTGGAGTTTCAAAGTATTAGGACTTTATAATTATCTAGAAGTCTTGGCGTTATGAATTAAAAGAAAAAGCTTTTGGTGCTTATTGTTGTCTAGGATTCTTATAGCTATCATATTCAGAATATTACCAAGGAAGAAAGGCACAAGAGCTCAGCCCCTAAGTTCTGCACCCATGCCATTGCTTTAACCTCGAATTTTTATCAGAACTTACAAGTTTTATCTGCCTGTTGAAATTCAGTTACCGTAAATCATGTTTCCTGGCACTAATATGGGTTTCACCACAAATTTAATCGTTGTTTAATTCTCACGTGTCACCACTGCAGAAGGATTAAAACTTAATCACACAGAAAATCTTCTACAAGAGTACAAGCACTCTCCAATCTATCAGTGAGATGCATATGCTATTATGAGAAATTAAATGCAATAAGCTTAGTCTGAAGTTCATCTACTCTTCACAGAAGCAACCTAAATACAACCTTTGCTGATGAAACACAGGTGAATTCAGGGATTGAACATGTTACACTGCTCATGAGTTTGCATATTGCTGCAAAAAGATAGGGGCAAGAATTAGTAAAGGATTAAGTTACAGTACAAAACAAGATAAAATTTACAGAATAAGAACTGACAGTTATATTGCAGATGCCAACGAGAATCAAATATATTGCAACACACCTTGAATTGTTGATGCAATCTCATAGGCAGGAGGATTCAACAGAAGATCTCTAACATACCTGAGGACCACAATAAAGAAATTAAGACGGAAAGAAACTTGCAATTGACTCAGGATTAATTACTAAAAATAGGAGAGATTGAATCAAAGAGAAGTAAAAAGAACTTCAACGAGCAATTTAAACTCAATCACCAAATCTAGAAAATTATGATTACACAACTATCTGCACCATTGCAAGTTTACAACTTTAATCGGCATGACAAAATAAACCTGTCCAACAGCCAGGATAGTTTGGTGGCGCATAATTGTTCTTCTTCACTCTTCTCCACTTACAAACTCTCTTTAGAGCCCCAAAAAAAAAAAAGAACAGTAGAACATTTTGCATAAGAACGAACGGGATGATGCAAAATGAAGCATTATAAAAGTCTTTAAGCGCAATACTTCCCTAGCCGTCATTTGTAGTTCAAAATTAAAATAAAAAAAATTAATAATGAAAAAGAACACGGTTTTGCCATATTTATGAAAATGCAAGTCATCAAAACACTCAACGCGAAAGTAAAAAGGAGAGGCGATCCATAATAAACCTGGAATGACTTCCAAAGATATTAAATAATGAAAATATACAAATTTTAAACTCACAGCACAGGTAATCCAGTACAATTTGGCGAGAGTAGTATTTTCAACAAATAAGGTATCCCTTCCGTTGGAATGGCACCTGCAAAATGAAATACAAGAAATTATGGGCAAAGAAAATATCCCCAACAGTAATTCTTTCACTGAAATTTAAACTGACCAATTTGCGTTGCTGTTCCCAGAGTTAAAGGTCGAGGCCTATTTTCTGAAGAAACAGTAGTGTTCCTGAATGTAACCTCATCCTCAAGACCATAAAGCTCCTTCACCTAACACAGTCAAAAATGAAACAAATGATTGTTTCAAATACTTGCATTCATGCACACATACATTAGAAATACAAGTCATAAGAGACATCTTATAGATCCAAACCTTAACCAGAAGGTCAGAGATGGGGTTGCCATCAAACCATTCAAAATGTCGTGAACTACACTCTCCCCAGAGGAGGCCTCCCTCACCAAATTCCCCCCAGCGGAATGTCTCTGTAAAGACAATACTCATATTTGTAACCTACACATTTTAAGACTGCATAAAAAAAGGACTTGTAACTGTCTATAACTGTCTAGAACATATTTTCCCCTAGACACAATAATGCAGATAGAATATAGAAAAATAATACTCCTCTGGTCCCAAATATAAGACCCATTTTGCATATAATTTACACTACAAAATGGATCTTATATTTAGGACCAAGAGAGTATCAACTTTTACCTGTCTTACAAATTGGGCCATTCTACAAATAGATGCACTATGTCTATATCCTAATAAAAAATACATAGGTACTTTTAACACCTTGAGACTTTCCCAAAAGTTATTTATCTATCAGCCTTCTACTTCTCTAGGAAATGGTTAAAAACAGTCTACTTTAAACCAATATCTATAGCATTTAAACTTCCCACAGCTATAGCAACCATCTATAGCCTCTTAGTATGTTCCCATTCCAGTTGCAACTTCCATTTTCATCAGAAAACCTTTTCAATGATATTATAACTTTTAAATAAAATAAAAGCGAACTGAGAGGCCTCCCGATATGTCAAGTCATATGGAACAATAGTGGATTTTGCCACGGCATTGTATCTATGATTTCCCATAATTTTGCCTTCAAATGAAATGATGAAGACATAAGAAAGAGGGCAGACCTGAAGAGTTTTTCCTCAAAGATGTGTGCAGAAATAAATGATGGTATTGACAAGTGCGAAGCTTTGTAACTACAGCTTCTTCTGTCAAACCATCTTCTGAAGAATACGTCTTCATGGTCTCAAGCACAAAATTTATGCAATAACCCCTTGCAGAACGAGATATCCCTAAAACAACCAAGTATCATCAGAATGAAACCTTTCAAAGTGGTCAAAAACAGCAATATCAAAGAAGAATTGTGAGTCTGCATGCAGAAAGTTTAAATGACAGTCGAACAGCTCATAAGCAGAGCTGTTGAGAAATTATTACAGTAACCAAGAGGATATCACTTTATCATTAAAATTAATGAAAAATATTAATTTCTCGGTGAAGAAATTAGAATTCAAGATAACCAGAATCCCAGAAAGTAAAGATAAACAGCAATATGTTAAAGCACGCTAAGCAGCTATTCACACTGAATACAATCTCAAAAGATCATAAAGATAGTATGCAACAGACAATTTGGCTAATATTGACGACAAAAAGAAAAAAAAACTAAGTTACATACCAACAACAGGCATTGGTTCTGGAAAGTCAAGATCATGATCAACTCCAACAAGTCCATACACATATGGATTTCCCGGATGAGCATGCCTGAAATTTGAATCAACAAGCTAAGACAACTTCGACAAGCATTGGATTTTAGGATAACAAACGTTAAAAATCCAAAACAAATCATCATATAAAATATTTCAGCCAGGTATCATTCATTCCCCTCCACTGCTACCTGCATACCACCTTAATGCGATATAAGCATTGCCAAATACAGCTAAATGAATATCTATACAGAAGTAGATGTGCCGGAAAGAATATAAAACATTAGCCAGAAAGATATTTGTCTTCCTGGTGTTTAATCAAAGAAAGCTCTGTCAATGAAACGAAATAAGAAAAGATAGAAAAGGAAAAACTACCAGCTTTCAGGCAACGTCAAAATTTTCAATTACCCAGATATAAAGCGACCTTTCCTAGATCGTGCTTGAGTTGGACCCTGAACCTCCTCCACTATGCACTGTAATGACCAAAATGCAGGCATTCAACAAAAATCATATAAAATAAAATTAGTGGAAAAGCATTACAAGATAATTCAGCATTTATGCATAAATAGAAGCTTAGCATCCTCATGCTTCATCCTAACGGATGCCATGGGCAACAAAAGATGATATGTGTCTTGGCATGGGATACTATAGAGTTATACAAGTCATAGACGCACCACTGAAAACCCGTTACGAGTCAGATCATCCAAAGTCTGTCGAAGATTCTGCAAGCAAAGACATGCTTAAATATAAAATAAACCAATTATAATAAATAATCACTGTTGCACACAGAGAGAAGTATTTGCCCTTGTTGATATACAATAATATTCTCACTTACTAACAATGGTAAATATTTAAAAAATATATATTAACCAAAAAAAAAGAATCATTGCTGCCTGCACAGAGCAATGTTTATCCGATTTTATATATTATGCTATCCTCATTAACTATCAATAGTACAAATTAAAAAAGATACAGAAAGAAAATAGAAAAGGCAAAGATAAAATAATAACTTCAGACCCTGTCTAAAGGAGCAGGAACAAGTGAACCAATTTCTTTGATAGCATTTTCAAAGCACAAAAGCAGCATCATCTCCACCAAAAAGAAAAGGGTTCAATGGAATCCATTGCTCCTTTATTTTTACACAATTAAGTGGTGATTTCATTATGGAAAAAACTTTGTTGGGTCTTTGGTGAAAATCGAGTGTGTTCCTCAATTCTACATCAATTTCAAAGTTTGCAGGGTGAAAAATTGGAAGACTTAAAAGTGTGTCTCTGTCCGATAGGCAGAAAGATTGGACATTTTTGTCACATGTTTTCAGACATTGTATTGATCTGCTTTAGTTTCTTTCTTTTTCTTTTTTTCAACTTTTCCTTTTTGGAATAATTTCTGTTTTTCCTTTCTTTAATATGATTAATTATCCCCATCTCCAGCATCTTTTAAAAAAAAAAAAGGTCAATTAAACCTATCCATCGGTCTTCAGCATAAAGGTAACCAATCAGACCATCAATAAAAAACATTAAAATCTCAAAAACAAGTGACATGCACAAGAGCAAAAGGCCATTACCACAACAGGACAACCAGCCTTTGGAATACTATCTGACCGCATACCACCAAAAGGGTTTAAACCAGCATATTCAACAAGAATACAAGCATCTATTCCAATAGATTCATAAAAGTCTCCAACCTGAGCAAAAATTGAAAAATTGGCGACAAATTACCAGGAAAAAATGCACAACATTTAGGTTAGACACAGAAATCATATCTGAGTACCAAACGAGGCTTTATTTAGACAAGGAAACTGTTCTACCAATGCCTGATCACAATCCCCCCCCCCCCGGGCCAAAAAAAAAAAGGGATAAACACAACATACTCTGCAGAGCAAAACTTCACGTGGAAATTTGGATTTGAACTGCAACATCTCCCAGTTGAGAGTTCCTTCTTTAAGACTGCATGCAAGACAATTTCTATTTGCATCAAGTTAACAATAATAATAGCATTGCTAGAATTAGAGAGTAAGAAATATTTTTCAATATTCCCCAGAACAATAAACAGTTTACATGGGTGCCTAAGCGTTGGCTTAAACTGATAAAGAGCTGAGAGTCAACTTTTCCTTTAGTTGAAGTCTTGAAGACTAAATATACAATGAAATTATCCGTAGCACATGCAGGTAATGAAACCCCTCAGAGTGTCCAATAATGCTCTTGCCCGGTCAGTCTTACATTTCTAGTTATATATCTTCTTTTGATTAAGCTGTAAAAAAATCAGTCAATAGATCTTCAGATATCTTTACTTTGCGAAACTCCTTGACACTCTTCAATGCTTCCATTTTGTCTTAGCTGCATCAATTCTTGACCCAGATTTTTATGTACTGATCCCAAACTCCTTTTGCTCGCTGGGGTATATACCTCCCCATTCAAAATCCGGCCAAGAACTTCCTCGCAGCTGAATTTCAGAAATTCCTTTGCAGAAGGGTCAGGTGGGAAAGAATCTTTTCCCATTCTTTAATGCCTGATGCCCTTTCCATTTGATTCTGTTGACTGATTTGACTGAGTCATCCGTTTTGGCATCCCTTCGGCCAGTTCTACATTTGACAGCTTTTGCTCCGTTCTTGATAGCCTTTTCTACATCAAAATGTGCAATTTGCTGGCTGGTGCATTGCTGCTCTAATTCGATTTTGTCATGAGGGGGGGATGAAAGAAGAGAGAGAGAGAGATTTGGAGGAAAAGAATCTCCATTAACCGACAGAGATGCCTTCCTCATCCTTTGGTCCATCTAGAGCCTCGAGCCTAATAATTTCCTAACTCACTCCTCTCATCTGTTATTCTTATTCATATGACAATTAAGCACTTAGATGATCATTAATTATATGGCCGTAACACTATATCATATTAGAGGTCAAACCTGTATGCAATGTCTAAAGTCTAAACACAATTAAACCAAGTGAATCAAGAGACCTTAAACAATGGTTCATATGCACATTGTAAAGCCCTAAAAACTGTGTATTCAAAGTTTCAGAAACATGTCTCACAAGAAAACCCGGCTACCAATGTCTTCATCTGACAGTTATAAAGACTGAAGAAAAAGGAAAAAGTAATGTCATCAATGTTTTAAATTCAGACCTTCCATTCTTCAAGTTGGGGTCCAAGCCCAGCAAATTGGAATATTCAAGCCTTTTAACCAGCTGAGTAGTCGAAGGCTTTCTGCACATCTGCATCTTCTGCCATAGTTTTGGGACGGGAACAAAAAGGACATGGAAGATAGCTTTCAATTCAATATCTCACTAAAAATAATATAATTTAAACAATTATGCATAATCTCGAGATTTAACTAAACATGGAAATGATTGGCACCTCCTTCCACCAAAATATGTTAGAAAGATCTTTATCATCTAAATTATTATTTGGAGATTTATGTTTCTTGGCTGCTCTACTGCTTCCCCTCAAAATCTTCCCATCTTTGAAACAAGATATCCTCTGAATATGTCCACTTCTTCTGTTCAAAAATTTCCGCAATTTAGATGCTATGCCAAAAAAAAGTAATATACAAGGTAAAACATTAAACTTCCATTATTAAGTTTTTGCCGCGCTATGAAACTATTCAATCAACCAACACTGACAAATAGGACCATTATTTTTACAATTGGATTGATGATTTTGTAATATATTTTATCTATGCTGAAAGAGTAGAACAGACAATCTGTATCAAATTATATCATGAACTGATCTTAACCATTATGGTTCTAGCTGACATTGCAAACTTCAACTTGGCTATCTAGTACAACCAACTAATTCTGATTCGAGCGGGATCAAGTCCCAGATAAGGGAAACTCTTCCAACATGACTTTTTATCCATAAAACTCAAATTCAAAACCTTGTTTAAGCTCATTCTTTTATTATTTCACAGAAAAAGAAACGTTCTGACAAAGAAAGAGAACTTCATGAAAGGAGGATAAGACAGCCTCCTAAAAGAAAGCGAGAAATTTTTTGCCTGGGTAAAGAGAGAGAATCTTGTTGTTATAATAAAGGCCTTTTTGATGGAAGATGTGAAGAGGGAGTGGGCAGCTTTGTTCTTTGTTTGAAATCTCGGTGTTCCTTTTTTAGTTTCTTTGTTTTACGAACAGCAACTTCAACCCCCATATTATCTTAGGTTATCATCAGATTGCAAAACATGCTTGTGGTTTTAAGGTGCTTTTATCAGGTTTTCATCCACCATGCATGCATAGCATTGCTCATCAAAGAACTTATTTTTTATCACACTTCATACACACCTAAAAGTAAAGTATGATTTTAATACTTCCCCCCGCCCCGGGGGGGGGGGGGAGTGTGATTTAATAACATGAGATTTTACTTGCAACCTTCAGATTCAAAATACGCGCATGCACCCATCAACTTTCCCTCTCCCCCTCCTCCTGTCGACTAAATTCAAAACGTATGATAAAACATTCTCCCAGACAAAATGACAAATTAGAACCATCGGTGAGAGAAACCTGATACTCTTCAACCAAAACCGACGGTTCAAGTATTAAAAAGACAAAAAGGCGCCATCTCTATTTAGGCCCAGCAATGCTATTAGTAGTTGTATCCAAAATGACAGATAAGAAGCACAAATGCTCCGCCGAGTTGTTCCTAGAGATAAAAGATATATTGCTGGCCCTGCCTGAGCAAGAAACAATTAACTGTACCATTTTTTTTTTCCAAGTAGGAAAGAACGGCAAAACTAAAGAGCTCCTTAGGAGTTCCCACAAAATGAAGCAGAACCAAATGCACATACAAATCAAATGTAACCTATGAACAAGTTCAGGAACAAGAGCGAAAGAGGGACATTACAGGAGGACCCGTGAAGGGACGAATGAACAGTATCTGGGTGCTGGAGAGCGAAGGAAGAGGGCAAGGGAACGCCAACGAGGTGATGAAACGACTATGCTTCTGGTTGCTAGCCGGTACATTGCGGAATGCTTAATGAACGTTTTGATTTCTCCCCAAATATGACAGCAATATTTCCTACTAAACGAGTAAAGACTAGGGTTTGAGAGTGTTTACAGAGACTGGGCTCTGAAAACAGAACTCCAGTGTCACGTTCCCGCCACTCGGTCACAGAGTGACAGGATGCCAGTGGCAAAAGGATAACGGAGAAACTAAAACGACCAAACAATGGGATATTCACTTGATTAAAAAAACAGAGAGAAAGCGAGAAACACTGAGATACTCGGCAAACAGACAAGAAAGCGTTCAACTTTACAAACGGATCATCTGACACAGTACCGCCGGAACGAGGGAAAATTTTTGCAGAAGGAGGGGTAAAAAAAAAAGAAAGAACTAGCAAAAATTAAAAACAAAACAAAACAGAAAAAATGTTGTCCATAAGATATCGATTATCAGTATGACATTAGGGGGCCGTAGCTTCCAATCTTTCCCTTCTTTGATTTAGGGGGTGTTTGGATAGAAACCAAACATGGTTTCAGAAATGTTTTTACGGATTACGAAGTAAATATGTGGAGGAGATTACCTCGTTTTGCGGAAAAGGCTTCTGAAACTATGGTTTGGGTTTCCCAAACACCCCCTTAATTGCTGCTAGAATGAGTGAAATTGATTTTTCACTCGGGGTTCTGCTCGAGCAATGACTTTTTTTTATAGCGATATCCTAAATGCAAATGTAAGCTTGTGTGGATATTTCGGCGAAGTCGAAAGTCCTTTTTAATTTTACTCATCAATCTAAAAACAATATTTAGATGAAAACTAAATCATAATTTTAAAAATAATTTTATAGTATGCATAAAAAATTTATTTTAATTTCTGTGAAAATACTTTTTAAAAACAATTTGAGGCAATTAAAGCTCATAAGACTTTCAAAATTTTCTTAGCACTTGAGCAAATTTTTATTCATGATAATAATGACAATTTTTCTGTACGCAAATAATCTGCAGGATTGAACTTGAAACTTCTGGCTACCATACCTTTAAGCTTGTGAGGTGGTTTTTGGAATTTCGTTTGGATTAATGAATCAACAAAAAGATGGTGACACATGAATAATTAAATGTTTACAAATTAAATATGCAAAGTTAGAAGTAATGGCTTTATTAATTTTTAAATCGCGGGGACCTGCTCAAAATTGTCACGAAGAATTATGCAGACAAACAAACAACTAATCTTTCTTACAGTATAAAATTAAGAAAATCTTTTTGCAAATGCCCATAATTTCTCATAATAAATTTTCAAACCGGCACCTCTTCTTTTTTTCTCTCTCATTTTAAATTCTTTAATTTTTTTTTGTTAATGCTGGTAGTTCTTGTAATTTTGCCATGCTAGCATTGTTATCTTCCTATCTAAGAGCTAATAATACTTTAAAAAATAAAATTAAATAATTTAATTAAGAAAAAAAGGTATAGATATCAAAGTGAAAATTAAAGAAAATATAAATATTTATAAAATAGTTTTCCCCTAAAATTAACGAGCCATAGTCGAATCCGAAACAGCAGATCATGCGATGTGGGATGACAATTGGTCAACATCTGCTGCCAAGGACACTACATCCGCGAATCTCCGAAATGACTTCTTCACTTTCTCCTGACAAATCAACAAAATTAAAATCCTCATGAAATTAACAAAAGTAATGAAAAATAATGTAATTTCTTCTTTTTTTAATACATCGTTGTGGCATGTTCTATACAATCATATTAGATCGAAGCATGTTCTGCAATCAGCTTAAAAAACTATTAATCCATGTATGTAGGTCTGCAAGTAAAAAAAAAAAATAGTTTTCACTTTAAAGAAAAACCTGAGTCATTCGTTATTTAGAAACGACGAGCGATAATTTTTTTAGTTTGGATATTTTAAGAGTAAACAACAGGGACAGCATCCATAAAGAAACAAACATTCCCTTAAATATCTGGTATATTTCCTACCCACAAATTAAAATATTATATATCTCCTGTTTTTCAATGATTCAGTTCGACATTTATTATTAATTATTCTGATAAAACAACTGCCGATGTTATTATATTACCTCTGGTCTTAATTATAAGAACTAGTTAACTAATTCGAAGAGATTAAGGAAAGAAGTTAAGTTAGTTATTTGTTATAAATAGGTGTTATCTTTCTAAAATATCATTGTTAATCAAGTGTAATGGCTAGAACTACCATTGTTAGAAGACTATCTTGAAAAAAATGCATAAATATTAGAGTCAAAGTAGATTGGGGTTTTATATTTAGAACTAAAATAAAATCAAATGAGATCCTATATTAAGAACCAAAGGTAGTATTATTTAAAATTAAAACTATAATTTCATCCAATACGTAGGCCGCTCTCTGGTCTTACTGTTACCAAACAAACATTATGTGAAGTGCTATGATGATGTCATTAAAAGAAAATTCCACTAAAAAAAAGAACAAGGTAATATTATTTGATTAATACTAATTCTCTGGTCATAAATATAAAACATAATTAATTAATTTGAATAGATTAAAAATATTAATTAAGTTAGTTAATATAATGTGTTTTTCCTAAAACATCCTAATCAAGTATCTGTTTTAATTCTCTCTCATCTTCTCTTACCTGATTATTATTAAAAAATATCAATAAGAGTAATTTAGAAGAAACTAACAAACATGTGAAATAGATTTGGTTGGAGTGCTATATTTAAAGAAGCATATTGAAGTTAGGAGATTTAAAAAAAAAAAAAGAGTGAAGTATATATGTACTCACCTTCATTCGATTTGATGCATCACTTGATTGAGGAGAGCTAATTGTCTGGAAAGGCAAAAAGACAATAGTAGCATAGATTAAATCAATTACTTTTTCATTTGACCCACCCATACTAATGCTCTGCTCAGGTTCGCATACACAAGAATTACATAGCTAATTCGCTGAAATAAAAAAAAATCAAGTTAATTATTTATTAAAACAACACATATGTATGATGGTATTCTTAAAGTATTCATTTTAATTGGTTGCATTAATACCACTAGTTCATCATTCATTAAAAACCCCTTAATATATATAATTAATTAAGAGAATTCAGAAGAAATTATAAATTTGCAAACAAAAATAAATACTTCAACTAATTGTTATACTAGGATCAAAGAATTAAAGTACACATATATGTATAGAGAGGGGGGGGTCTAGAATATTTGTGTAGGAGGAACGCACCGGGGATGGGGATGGGGATGACGGCGAGTGTTGCATCCTGGCTAGAAGCGAATAGTTGTCTTCAAAATCAGCATGCTCATGCACAAATCGTCTTCCATGATAACATGGGATGCACAGATCAAAAGTCATCTCCCAGACACCTTTGTTCCCCAGACGACACTGCGTACAGCTGAAAAACAAACCTGCGATGAAATTGCCGCAGCCATTACACCATGGCCTGGGGCTCGCCCGCATGTAAACCAGAGTTAAGAACTCGTCAAACTGCAGCGTGCCGTCGCCGTTTTGATCGACGAGGTCGAAGATCCTGCGATTCGCCGTTAGATTATTGCCGCCGAGCAGTACTGTGGTGTTTGTGGGAGGATGTGAGGAACTCCTGAAGGCTTATCTTGCCGTCTCCATTTTTGTCCACTGACCTGAACAAATCCACCGTTTCTCTTTTGGCCTCATCGCTCAAGTTCGCATAAACAGCTTTTGCAGCACTTCTTATCCTTCCATACCCAACCTTAGCTTCTTCAAATGCTTCTGCTCTCTTCTGGGATTTTACATCCAACAGTTTTATAGGCCATGTAAGCTCCGGATTCGATCGGCCTATGTTCTGGATATTTAATTTATGGAAAAATTAATCTTTTAGTCCCTATACTTTTAACTCAATGTGACTCATTCCTTCAAGTTTTAACTCGTTATGACTCAGTCCCTGTAGCTTTTAAATTGTGATGACTGGATCCTTGAAATAGCTAAAACTGGGTGAGTCCCTGAAAACTCATCCACGTGGCAGAATAAAAGCTGAGATGGCATCTTAACAAGGCACATCCGATTCTCAACTAGAAACGAGGGAGGCAGGGAGGGAGACGCGTTGAAGAGGAGGTCGTCTTCTTCCCTTGAACCAGAGCACGCCGCCGATACTGGTCTGATAAAAGTTCATCACTTCGTCTTCACTGAGGGAGGATCATTCTCTGGTTGTATTCTTCTCCTCTGACCAAGGTGGTGACAACGTGAGGAGAGAGAGACGCCGGGACTGCTTCTAGAGTTGGATGCCAACAGAAGCAGAGAGACAGAGAGACTCGTTTGAAGGTAACTTGGGTTATTTATGACAAATGCGTTTGGTTTAGTGTTGGTAATTTTCCAACAATAAAAACTCTTTGGGCAGCAATGTATGCATATATGAGAGGCATATCCTTGATTAAACACATGATGTGGCTGACTGATTCCACAAACGTGGAGGGTAAGTTTCGCACCTCCATTTAAATATTATATAGATAGATTTTTGTTGTTAATTTTTATGATAATAAGGAGAAGAATAGTAGCTCAGCCTCTGCAGCCCAGTGAAGACGACAGTGATGAATTTTTATTTGAGATCAGTATCGGCGTGCTCTGGTTTAAGGGAAGAAGACGACCTCCTCTTCAACGCGCCTCCCTCTCTCCCTCCCTCGTTTTCCAGTTAAGAATCTGATGTGGCTTATTAAGATGCCATCTCAGCTTTTATTCTGCCACGTGGACGAGTTTTCAGGGACTCACCCAGTTTTAGCTATTTCAAGGACCCAGTCATCACAATTTAAAAACTACAGGGACTGAGTCATAACGAGTCAAGTTTGAGAGATTGAGTCACAATTAAGTTAAAAGTACAAGGACTAAAAGATTAATTTTCCTTTAATTTATTAACCACTTGTTGTCCAAGTCTACTGGTAAAAATTCAACTCTTGCTTAAACAAGTGTCCGAGTCCATTATTTAATTCTTATATTTAGAATTAGAGGATATGGAAGGAACATATTAATAATGCATATCGAGACAAAGTTTCACAAAGTAATAACAGTAGGCAAAAATATTATATTCCAAATGTTTATTGCTCAATGTTCAATTCTTGCTTGCAAATTATATATCCAGCTGGAATAGAATTAATTATATGGTTTCACTTGACTTTTTGTACACTAAAACTCTATTTAGGTGTCTGGCTATCGTTTTCCCAAAAAAAAAAAGGAGGGTTTAATTAATCAAGGCCTTAACTAATTTAATTTAAAATTATCATGCAGACTGACAGTGAACTCCAAAACGTCTGACTTGACTAATCTCATGAGGAGATTATATGCGCGTA